AAATAGTTTCTGAATACGACGAAATAGTTTCTGAATACGACGAAATAGTTTCTGAATACGACGAAAAGAGTTTCTGAATACGGCGAAATAGTTTCTGAATACAAGAGTTTCTGAATACAACGAAATAGTTTCCGAATACAACGAAATAGTTTCTGAAGACTAGTTTCTGAATACAGTGCAGTTTCTGAATCCGACTTTGTTCATGATATGACTGCGCAACAATCCGGTCACAAGGCCCAGTGGGACACCATTAGAGGAACATGGACTGGATGCTTACAACTGACAGCCGTGTCGTCCCCCGAGCTGCTGGTAAAATCGTGAAGAACATTCAACAACGTGTTACGACTTGAAAGACCACAGCGGAGAAACACCAATGCCAACCAAAGTTTGCTTACTATGCTTACTTGGAATACTTGCATGTACTTCAAGTGCGTTTTCTTGGTGCACATGTGGAGACTGCCACTGTTTGAGTGTGTTTCTTATTGAAATTATATATCATTGATTGTTGTTTTCCAGGAACCAACAAAACCCTTGCTTGCACTGTTTGAGCGTTGCCTCTTAATGAAGATATAGCCAAACTAGGTCAACCAGTGTTATGACTGAAGGAATCGGCAAAACCCAAGCTCACCACCAAAGCAAAAACATTTTTTGCAGCCTTTCATTGACCTAAACAGTGGCTGTGGAAACCCCAATCCATCTGACCCTCCTTTCTGGGACAAACTGGTTCACCACAGCAGAGCCGTGCCGCGTGCTCTCGAGCCTTCTCGTGGATGAGGAGCTCAGCGTCCACTAACAGGATGCCCTCGACACGGTGCATGTCTTGGGGCAACAGTTCTCCAGAACCACAAATTCAATTTCAACTGAAAGTTTTGTCAACGCACTCAGACAATCTCAGACAGAGTCCTGGGGCACAAGCATCTTCGTGCATCCGTGATGCCCAGGGTCTCCAACAACGTTGCGCCCTCACCCTGTTGCGTGGGCTTCTGCGTAGCTGACCAGCTCGCTCTGCCTCGGCGGTTGAGCTTGCTACAAAAGGCCTGGCGAGACAAGAACCACGTTCGCCAGCAGCGGTGCATGGTGATTCTCTGACCGAGGGAATTTCAGCTTCGTGGCCTCTCAGTCACCCTCCTTGCACGCGACCACATGAAGACGGTCCTGGATCCTACAAGATCGTCCTGACAAAGTCAGCCTGAAGATGATCAGCGGTGACATTGGTCCTTTGGTTCCTGGCAACCTTCTGTTCCTACACGCTTTGACCGACGACGTCTTGTTTGAAGCAAAGACGTCTTGGGCGGTGGACTTCTGGATTCGTGGGGCCTGTTTCAGTGGCCGTTGCGGCCGTTGGACTCTGAAAATCAAGCCCGTTGATCTGCACCCCTAGCCTTCAGAGTACAGGTGCGCAAAGCCCCACCAACCTGCAATTGGCCAGCAACGGCTAGAGTCATCCCGGTCCTGTCGCACATGTTGTTCAACGTTGGCACCGCGCAGGTGTGAACGTTGGCGTCGCAAGTCACATCCTGAAGAAAACACTGACTCACTGGGCCTCACAGTTGCAGGCACCTGCGCGTCCGTGTCCCCTACGGCAGTCTCCTCCCAATCTGAAGTGGGATCAGCCTTCACTAGCCTGCCACCTGACCGACACAAAAACTCTGCAATCTGGATGGACATATTTGCAATGTTGGGCACACAATTGCACCTCAGGCTGCCCAGAACTTGGTCTGAAGTACAAGCTCATGATACACGGGTCAAGAACTTGTCGCGCTTGTGTCGACAAACGCTATGGACAACGACACCTGTGCAGAAAGCAAACATATATTATATACATATGCAAACAATATGTTCAATTAGCCTGCGGCATCTTACGTAGTTATGCGCGCGTGCAATGCAAGATCGGCAGCCGCCAAGCCGGCACCACAACAGGATGGCTACTAGTACAACACCTATGGATCGGTTTGCAGGAGGATGTTTCTACCACCCAAAAGTGTGGAATCGTAACCAATCACATCCAAGGGGGTGGTCAACTGGACTTTCCGAGTGTAAATATAGACTTCTTGTTGGAGCAATCACTCTGCATAGATTGGGCATTGCCCCCAACCAAAGCCGATGACGGTGAGTGTTCCGACCTCCGTAGTTCGGTGACCGGTGGGACTGAAGGGCACTGCCAGGGTCCAGTCCTACCGAACCTGAGCTGGGACGGGAGCCCATAGGGTTAGTCCTTTCTGAGTCTCCAAGTATCTGAGGGTTACTTAGGGTTACTCCTTTTCTGAGAGCCCTAGGGTTCGACTCCCCTCTCACCGAGTCTCTCGCCTGGGCCAACTCCTCAGCAGAGCAGCTCTTCATCCTGGCCGCGGCGCGCGAGTGGGCGCGAGTGGCGCGCGTCGAGTGGCTCCCGAGTCAGACACCGATCCCGAAAAAGAAAGGTGAACCGCACTGAATACACCTGTTTGTGTCTGGTGGGGTGTCCCCCAATCGGAAGTCGCTGAATGACAAAGGCCAGAAAATACCACACACTAAACTCACTAACTATATATACCAGCAGTCACAAAGGGGTGCTTAATGGAGGTTCGGAGTGCCCATTATCCATTCACTTAGGGACCAAACACCACCCCTTTGTGACTGCTGGTATATAATTCTACCTGCGGTGGTTATGTCTGGTGATTCGCCACAACAAGTGCCTGGTGCACCCTTCCTTCTCATGGATTTGATGGACCTCCAGGGACCCAAGGTGTCCGTTGCACGAACCAGAGCTCGGCTGCTATTTGCAGGACATCCAAAAGGAGTTACGTGTCCAAGCGCCGCGTGAGGTTGATGGTGGACAACGTGGAGTTGTCCAGATGTTGGATTGGAGGGGCTAGCAGACTTGCGTTCATTGACGTTCTTGTCAAGTTGGGACATATTTCTTTTCCGCCTGTATAACGCCATGGCCCATAGCGGCTTTGGCAGCTCTACATGGTACTTGATCAAACATATCTCATGATGGAACGGCCATTCTTTGCATCTAAAAGGTCGTTCTAGGAAAACAATAATAGTAACTTACAGTACATGCCCCGGTAGATCAACTCTCATATGTTTGATCATATATAATCCCCCAAACCCTGGTGACGGTCATGTTTCACCTCCATCCCTCACCTGTTCGCGCCTCCGCAACAAGTCGGCCAGGGCGTCTCGTCCGGCCGCGGATAAAATCTCAGAGCGGAGCAACTGGAGCAACTGGAGCGGAGGAGGGGAAGATGTGGCTGTGGGTCAAAACCCCATATGCCATACACGACTAATGGGACTGCCATAGGACTGCCGCCCCATTGACCCCCTGGCACCATCCCTGGCCTGATCAGCAGTCCTATGCCGGTCCCAAACAGGTCGTGTCTGGGTATTGGTGGACACCGCTGAAAATGAACAGATTCCAGGTGCCCTGACCCAGCCAGTCATCGAATATGTGGATCCTTTTCACACGGTCGGGTACCATGACCCGGTTGTTGCGGATGATCAACCTACCAGGCTTGGACTCAGGACTCGGCAGCACTGGTACTAAGCGGAATGTGGGGGGCATCATCCGAAAAGTCGGACCGCTGTGCCCAGGTTTGGCCGATGTGTTTTGAAGCTTGGGACAGGCTTCGCCTCCGGCACGTGTCTCCTGTCTGTTTTTTGGTTCCTTAATAGAAAGGATGCACTCCTGTCATGCAATACCAGGTTGCTGGCAGATGTCTGATACAGATTGCTTGGAAGGGAGAACCAGGTGCAGAGTTGTGCTAGGAGAAGGGTAAAATCTGCACAAACAACTCCGGGAAAAATGGCCTTGCTGATTCAACCTCCGATCATGCCAAATGACCAGAAACCCCGAGTTCTGTACCATGACCCATCCCATCCGGGATCAGAAGGCATGACTGGACCCTCCAAACAAAGGTCTCCAATCACCTTCTCAGAGGGTGGTCAGGGATCTGGAAAAACCAACGTCTTCTTTATTTACTGTTGGCTTCGGACAGGGACGACCAGGTTTCGGTCGCCAATTCTCTGGTTGGATTTCATTGTGGAGGGATTCTGTGTTGGTTTCCCTTGTTGAAGAAACGCGACACGACGAGGGTTCCACAGCATTTGCCGGAAGACGATGGAGTGCTGCCTTCCTGCAAAACAAAAAAACGAAATGGGTCTCTGGAGTGCTGCTTTGCGGAGATACATAGAGAAAATCTGTGTTCTTCTTTGAGTTGAATATTCACCCAGTGGCTGTCTCTTCCAAAAAAAGAAAAAAATGGCAACGCGATGCAGCTTGGAGTTCCAAGTTCAACCCCAGCACCGGAAATCTGAGTTTCGCGGCAGCTCCACGCCGACCATGGCCTCGTCGTGTGAGTTCCCTGGTGGGTTCCCTGGTGGGACTGGAAGATTGTTAGCTACCAATCCCTAGGGCTCCTGGCCCCTATCCTCAGGTGGTTAGACCTCCAAACCCACCCACCCCAAGCATCTTCGAAACGGAGGTAGGACAGGAGCACTAATGACTGACCCTATGAACATCTTAGTTACATTGACCCCAGGACATCCTACCACGTTTTGTTCAACTGAAACGAGTTTCGGGTTTTCTCACGGTCTGCCCCTTTCAACGAAGAGCCAAAAAAGGTAGGTGGAGCAGTCTTCCAAAGGCAAAGGTTGCGCTGGTCATGTTCTGTCAGGTAGGCAATTTAAGTGGGGTCACTTCTCCTCCAACTCCCCATGGAGCTCGTCATACTGATGCTACTCGCGTGTTTTGCTTCTCTTGTCCTTTGTACGGTCGAGTCCTTCGTCTCGAGGAACACCATGCAAACAACGCCCGCTCTGGGTGGCTTTATAGGCAAGACTTTTCAGGCAGGGCTTTGATACCAAAAAAAAGGGGTTGATGCCCCTGGTATGATCAACTCCAGTAACATCCAAACATGAGGTCTTTGACCAGTATATACTCTTTTGCGGGTGGTCACCGCTGCTTGTCAGAGTCTTTTGACGTCGTCTTTGGCCCCTCTGGAAAAGGACCATCCCAAATGGGCGAACATGGACGTACCCTCCCTTCAAGAAACATGAAGGTGGAAAATGGCCCAAACAGGAAGACTGTTTCTCTCTTCTTACAGGGGGTGTCATCCGCTTCCATGATTCTGTTAGGGAGGAATGTATACATTCAAACGTACAATTGATCGTGCAGCAAATGATCTGGATCGAAGTACCCAACTAAAAGGCTTTCTCCTTGGACACATTCTCCCACCTCTCCAACCGCATCCAACACGACTGCCACGGAGAGCGAGTGGCCGTCGACGACCGCCACGGAGGCAACCGAGGCATCCACAGAGATGTAGAAGGTGTCCTGCGGAACCATCATGATGTCATGTATAGACTGAAACTGTATACGCTGTATATTGTTGGATACTGAATAAAAACAAAAACCCATAATAAAACCATCTAAAACCTCTGCTACGAGGCTGTACAATCCAACGTCCCCGGGTGGTTTTGAATCTGTCGACCGCCTCAGCCAGCCAGTGCTTGTCATGCTCAAACGCCCCGCCCCAGTCTCAGCGCAGCGAACCGGCGGGTCTCGGTCGGTCGGTTTCGTCGGTGGGATCCGCTTCAGACCGCTTGAGAGGTCGAACCATGGAGACTATAGCGGAGAAATGGCGGAGACATGCTGCGAGGAACACTGGAGAGGTTCGGACCAACGGCCTGCTCTTTTAGGTCACCAGAATGGAGGATGTCTGATGTCCATCGTAGACAAGGTCTACTCTGCACGGCGATCAAGGTTTTAAGGGTCCATGTTAGTCTTCAATAGGGTTATTCCCCCCTCCCCCAAACTAGACGACGAGTGGCCCGAAAGCATTTTTCATCACGTAGGAAGTCAGAGTGCGAGTTATCTGTTAAGTGTGTTATAAGTGTTCAGTGTGAAGTGTTAAGTCGAGTGTGTTGAGGCAGTGTGTGGGTCTCTGTGTGTGTGTATCTATGTCTGTGTGTGTATGTGTCTCTCTCTGTATGTCTTTCTGAAGCGCAGGAACACCTGTTTTCTGCAAGTTCTTCACCTCTCGAAAGTCACCTCCGCGTAGTAAAGTTGTACTACAAAGTCGCCAGTTCTCATCTTCCAGCTCCACAGATTGCTCCGTGTACTAAAGTTCTACTACCAAGTCGCCAGTTCTCATCTTCCAGCTCCCCAGATACTCCGCGTACTCAAGTTGTACTACCAAGTCGCCAGTTCTCATCTTCCAGCTCCCCGGATACTCCGCGTACTAATGTTGTACTACCAAGTCACCAGTTCTCATCTTCCCACTCCCCAGATACTCCGCGTACTAAAGTTGTACTACCAAGTCGCCAGTTCTCATCTT